AGCTTGAGGCTCTGTCTCAAAAAAAAAAAAAAAAAGAAAGAAAGAAAGAAAGAAAACACAGTTGTCTTCAGGAGGCTGAAGCAAGAGGATCACTTGAGCCCAGGAGTTTGAGATTGTTGTGAGCTGTGATGGCAAAGCACTCTACAAGAGTGCTTTTAATTTACACTCTAAATTTGAGTTAATTCAGATAAAGACTGAACTGAGATTTTGTTTTTGTAATGTGAGTAGGAACATTATTTTATTATGAGCTTTCTGCCTTCCTGCTCTAACCAGAGCACCAAGTGAGACTCTGTCTCAAAAAACAACAACAAAAAAGCATTCATCTTTATTTGTGGCCTAATACTTTTTTTTTTCCTCCTAGGAAGAATAATACATTCTAAAGTTACTTTTTCCCTCTCTGTGGACTTAAGGTGAAACTTAGTTTTGTTTCTGTTTGGATTTACTTCCTAAAAGTCAATACCATAAACCCATATCAGATATAAAGAATTAGTTAAACCATGAGTTGTGGAAATGACTTTGTGGGAATATTAAAGAAAATCGGTTATCCTAAAGCTGAGATTCTTAATGGAGAAGATTTTGACTGGTTGTTTGAGACTGTTGACGCTAAATCGTTTTTGAAGTGGTTTTGTGGGAATGTGAATGAACAGAATGTATTGTCTGAAAAAGAATTGGAAGCTTTTAGCATTCTTCAAAAATCAGGCAAGCCCATCCTAGAAGGGGTGGCATTGGAGGAAGTTCTTAAAACCTGTAAAACTTCTGATTTGAAGACACCCAGACTGGATGACAAAGAGGTGATGAAATTAGAGGATGAGGTTCAAACTCTGCAGAAATTAAAGAACTTAAAAATTCAGCGACGTAACAAATGCCAATTGATGGCTTCAGTAACTAGCCACAGATCTCTGAGGTTACACGCTAAAGAAGAAGAAGCCACTAAGCAGCTAAAGCAGAGTCAAGGAATTCTAAATACAATGAATGCTAAGATAAGTAATGAACTTCAAGCTCTTACTGATGTGGTTACAAAGTTGATGATGTTCTTCAGACAATCTGATTTGGTTCAAGGGACAAATCCACTGGTGTTTTTGTCTTACTTTTCCTTAGAAAATTATCTAAGCCAGGAAGAGCGAAGCACAACAGCATTAACCTTATATACCAAAAAACAGTTCTTTCAGGGTATACATGAAGTAGTTGAAAGTTCAAATGAAGAAAATTTTCAACTTTTAGATATACAAACACCATCTATTTGTGATAATCAAGAAGTCCTTGAGGAGAGACAACTAGAGATGGCTAGGCTGCAGCTGGCATATATTTGTGCTCAACATCAGTTAATTCATTTGAAAGCAAGTAATTTGAGCATGAAGTCAAGTATAAAATGGGCGGAAGAGAATCTCCATAGCCTGACCAGCAAGGTAAACGTACGCCATGAGACATATTGTAATTGTTGTTAGGAATGAAGGATATAATTGCTATTAGAGTATTTTAGAAGGAGGAATGGGGGGAGGTCTAATAAGAAACTGCGGTTTTTAAATAATTTGATATGTGTCATTGTTTCCTACAAATATATTGATGGAGGGCAGAAATAGTTATTATAACCCCAACTGCATTATCTAGTTTATTTTAAACAAGGGTGCTTTTAATTTGCATTCTAAATTTGAAATTTGTATTCATTCAGATAAAGACTGAACTGAGATTTTTCTTTTAATGATGTGAGTAGAGACATTGTTTTATTATCAGCTTTCCGCCTTCTTGCTCTAACCAGAGCTCAGTGCTAATGAAGTCAAAGGTCCAGGTTTGGTAGACCGAAATCCTGATTCCTTGTTCAGAATCTGTAGATGTATTGCAGGTGTCCATCAGCACTCTTAAAAAGCTTGCTTTTTTGGTAAGTAACCACTAGATAGTTGTAAAAGTATAACTTTTCTGAACCTGAATAACAGTTACTGTTACAGTTAGTTACTGTAACTGATAAAGACTTCAGAATAATACATAGGAAGTCCAGTAATTCTGTAGAAGTACTAAAATTTACTGACTGGGTAGGACCTACTGAGATAATTTTAACCTTTAAGAAAACTTAAATAGCCTGCACTTGGATTCATTGACTAGTATGCTAATGGTTTTGATAGAGTAGAACAAGTGTGACAGGATCTTTATTTTGGTAGCCATTACTGTACATGTATGGTAGCAGTAACATTAAAATTTAGTATTTCATACTGGCTTTACCCTTGACGTAGTGCACCTTTTTAAATTTTAATTTTGGTCTATGCTAACATAAGATTAGTTTTTGTTCATTGAGCTTATTATCCAATCACTTAAAATGGAAAGTAAAAATTATTTTCAGACTATTTCAGGTTTACTTCTACAGCTTGAAATGTAATTGTTTTTCTTTGTATAGGCTATTGGTGAAGAAAATCTGGATGCTAAAATTTCTAGCTTGAACAATGAGATTATGAAACTTGAAGAACAAATCACTCATATGAAAGATAAAAGTTTGCCTGCTGTGGTAAAAGAGAATGCCCAGTTACTAAATATGCCTGTTGTAAAGGGAGATTTTGATCTGCAGATCGCCAAACAAGATTATTATACAACAAGACAAGAGTTTGTTTTAAATCAATTGATAAAGCAAAAGGCATCCTTTGAACTTCTACAGTTATCATATGAAATTGAATTAAGAAAGCATTGGGACATACATCGTCAACTTGAAAATTTGGTTCAAGAACTTAGCCAAAGTAACATGATGCTCTGCCAGCGATTAGAAATGTTAACAGATCCATCAATTTCTCAGCAGATGAATCAAAGAAACACCATTGATTCCAAGGATTATTCTACTCATAGGTATGTATGCTTTATTGTTGCTTTAGTAATTCTTTTCTTTTCTTTGGTAAGAATACTACAGAGTTTGAATTAAAATTGTAGAAGTTTTAAAATTGCTTTGTAATTCACTTTGGCCTTTCTGTTCTTTTCCACCTTTTTCTTAATGTGCCTTTTCCTTTTTAAATATTTGGTTCTGGCTCGGCACCCATAGGTCAGTGGTTAGGGTGCTGGCCATATGCACTGGGGCTGGTGGGTTCAAACCTAGCCCAGGCCTGCAAAACAACAGTGACAACTACAACAAAAATATAGCCAGGCATTGTGGCGGGGACCTATAGTCCCAGCTTCTTGGAAGGCTGAGACAAAATCACTTAAGCCCAAGAGTTTGAGGTTGCTGTGAGCTGTGACACCATGTCACTCTACCTAGGGCAACATAGTAAGACTCTTGTCTCCAAAAAAAAAAAAAAAATTATATATATATATATATTTGGTCCCTTTTCATTCATGTTAGATCTGAAAGTAGCTACTTTACAGCTAAGGTGAATGGGTGAGGTGGAAGAATGAGTATGTAACAAAATTTTGTTCCCCTTTAGGCATCATTATTTATAAATCTTATTTTAGATTTGGGGCAGGAAGTTTGAGTACTTGATGGAGTAGGTATTGCTGAGCAAGAGACTGACTGCATTTGGAGAAGGTGGCAATAGGGAATGGAGAAGACTTTCTTTCTGTGTCTAGTCAGGCGAGTCATTGAGAATAAATGCAGTTTTCAAGCTGTTTCTGCGTATCTAAGCAGTTGATGGTACGGGATACTGAAGTTGTAGTGGACTAAAATAGTCTAAGATCTTATAAATCAGAATCCTCCTGATTTTTCTCCAAGACTAGGATAAAATTACCTAATTCTTTTGTTATTAATAGAATGAGGGACCTGATAGAGCTGCCTCACTGCACAATTTCAGAGAATGCCACTGATACAACTTATGTGAACAGTGCTCCCTGGAACTGTGCAATTACATCCCCATAAGACCATAATTGGCAGCAGCCCTGGGCTTGAACCAGTTTTATGAAGTCTGTTACAACTTGTTTAAAAAATTATTTTAATGCTGAGAAAAAAGCAGACTCTTTTTGTCAGATATGTGTGGAAGGTGTGGTCTCATATTTTTTTGTTTGCTTCTGTAGGATGATGTATTTTTCTACTGTTCATATTTAGGTTTGGAGGAGTTTTTTTTTTTTGAGATAGTCTTAACTTTGTCACCCTCAGTAGAGTGCTGTGTTGTCATAACTCACAGCAATCTCAAATTCGTGGGCTCAAGTGATCCTCCTGCCTCATCCTCCCAGGTAGCTGGGACTACGGGTGCCTGCAATAATATCTGCCACACCATCCAGCTTCTTTTTCTATTTTTAGGAGAGAAAGAAGGATCTCAAACTTGCTCAGGCTGGTCTCAATATGCTGCTGAGCTAAAGCAATCCACCTACCTCTGCCTCCCAGAGTGCTGAGATTACAGGGGAAGTGGCACAGCTGGGCCTTGTTTTGTTTTGTTTTTTAAAGAGATAGGGTCTGACTCTCACCTAGGCCAGAGTGCAGTGACATGATCTTTGCTCACTGCAGCCTCCAACTCCTGGGCTCAAGCAGTCCTTCTACCTCAGCCTCCCAAGTAGCTGGGATTACAGGCATGTGCCACCAGGTCCTGCTAATTGTTTGAAATATTAAAATGACCTCATGGCTCATCACAGTTTTAATTTGCAATGAAATATGGACAAGACTGACTTGGCAAATTTTATTATTTATAGGTATTTATGTAATTATTGTTTACATTTTGTATTTTACATTGTTTTAATCTTACATTTATTTTTACATTTTACCTTATTTACATTTTTAGCTTTTCTCTTTTAATTCCACCACAATCCTGTAAAATAGGTAGGTATTAAATGTGGAGATTGATTCACCCTCCGTCTCACACAATAGAGAACTCAGACCTAGGTCTTCTGTTTCTGATTCATTGCTGTTCTTACTATGTTGCAGTTATATTCTGGAGGTATCTCTGAAATAGCCTACTTTGTTTGAAGTAGGTTAATGGCAATTAAAGTCAAGAAGAATTTTTTAATCTAAAACTTGAAAGGTGGGAAAACTGGGGATACAGATGTAACAATATATATTTCTTCACTGACACAGTATTATATTTAGAGTAATTTCAGTTGCTTAATTTTAGCAGCATAAATATGTTCATAAGTTGTTACTCAGCTATCCCCACAAATGCCTTCATATAGTGGATTGTAATTTTGAAAACTGTAATGACTTGAGAATTTTTTCCTATAATTTTTATTTTTATGTTTTAGGCTTTATCAACTTTTAGAAGGAGAGAATAAGAAAAAAGAATTGTTTTTAACTCATGGAAACCTGGAGGAAGTGGCCAAAAAATTGAAACAGAATGTTTCTTTAGCACAAGATCAGTTGGCAGTATCTGTTCAAGAACATTTTTTCTTTCTGTCCAAACTGAATAATGATGTGGATATGCTTTGTGATGCATTATATAAAGGAGGAAATCAGCTTCTGCTTAGTGATCAGGTGGGTGTTTGCAATTGGAGTTAAAAATGCTTTAAAAAAGTTTTTGTTATAGACGATATTAAAGACAATGTTAACATTAGGAAAATATTACCCCAATCCCATGTTCTAAAATAAAATTTATTTTTTATATATTATCCTAACTTTTGTTTACATATAAATACATTTTTCAGATAGTTATGATGAGTGGGCACACAGAATTTTAAAAATGTATATAATTTTCCAGGCACATAGGAAACGTTTATGCTAAGTATTGAAAAAATAAAATCCACTGCTGTTTTTACACTCATCTTAGCAAATTCAGGATTGCCTTTTGATCTTTAAAATTCTCTGTGTACAACCAGGCATGGTGGCTCACTCCTATAATCCTAGCACTTTGGGAGGCTAAGGCTGATTGCTTAAGCTCAGGAGTTCTAGACCAGCCTGAGTAAGAGCAAGACCCTGGTCTCTACTAAAAATAGAAAAACTAGCCAGGTGTTGTGGCAGGCACTTGTAGACCCAGCTACTTGGGAGGCTCAGGCAGGAAGATCTCTTGAACCCAAGAGTTTGAGGTTGAGGTGAGCTATGATGCCTTGACATCCTACCCAGGGTGACAGAGTTTACTCTCAAAAAAAAAAATCTCTGGATATACTTACTGATACATACTCCTAAATAGTGTTCCCCTCCCCTCATCAAAGAATAATTAGTGTGCTTAAGTTAGTTTACTTTTTGCTTGCTTTTATTTATAGCTTTATTAACATATATATCCTAGACTGTATATTTAATTTTATATGTTTCTGAACTTTATATACATGGTATTATACTGTATACATTGTTCAGTAACTTGTTTTTAAGACTCATCCATGTTGATAAAGCTATAGTTCATTCATAGTTTTCTCTTTTATGTAGTTTATATTCCATTATATAAAATTCCAGAAACCAGAAGTGGTGACAAACACCTGTGTCCCAGCTACTCAGGAGGCTAAGGTGGGAGGATTACCTAATTAAGGCCAGGAGTTTGGGGTTGTAGTGAGCAATTATTGTGCCAGTACACTCCAACTTGGGTGACAAAGTGAGACTCTGTCTCATAAAAAACACAAGCAAACTAAAAAGAAATTCTACAATGTAAATATCTGTTCTGTTGACAGACTTTTTTAGGTTATTTCCGGTTACTGCTACTGTAGACCATTATTGCCATGGATTATCTTTTTGAATGTCTCATAGTTACACAGTTCTAATTTCTAAACATTTTCACTAACACTAGTTATATTGTGATTTTTTTTTTTTTTTGGAGACAGAGTCTCACTTTGTTGCCCTTGGCAGAGTGCCGTCACAGCTCACAGCCATCTCCAACTCCTGGGCTTAGGCAATTCTCTTGCTTCAGCCTCCCAAGTAGCCGGGACTACAGGCACCCGCCACAATGCCCGGCTATTTTTTTGTTGTTGTTGCAGTTTTGGCCAGGGTTGGGTTTGAACCCACCACCCTCAGTATATGGGGCCAGTGCCCTTCCTACTGAGTCACAGGCGCTGCCCTGTGATTTGTTTGCGATTTGTTTGCGATTTGTTTTTTAACAGATCTCCCGTTACTGATTTTGTCATCTTGATCTTTTAGTGAGAGAATTATATAAAAATTTGAAAATTTCTTTAGGTAGTTCTCTATCAGTTTTTTTTGTTGTTGTTGTTTTGCTTTGTTTTTGTTTTTTGAAACAGAATCTCACGTTGTGGCCCTTAGTAGAGTGCTGTGGCATCATAGCTCACAACTTTTGGGCTCAAGTGATTCTCTTGCCTCAGCCTCCCAAGTAGCTTGGGACTGTAGGTCCCAGCCACATGCCTGGCTATTTTTAGACACAAGGTCTTAGCTCTGGCCCAGGCTAGTCTTAAACCTGTGATCTCAGCCAAACTGCCCACCACCACCTCCCAAGTGCTAGGATTACAAGTGTGAGCCACCACACCTGCCCAGCCTCTCTATCAATTTTTTACGTATTTTGAACATTTTATGAGTTAGATCCAGTTTTAAAATTGTGAATAATTATCCTGGTAGTTTTTTGGGTTTTTTTTTTTTTTTTTTGAGATGAAGTCTCACTTTGTTGCCCTTAGAGTGCTGTACTGTCATAGCTCACAGCAGCCTTCAGCTCTTGGGCTTAGGTGATTCTCTTGTCTCAGTCTCATAAGTAGTTGGGACTACAGGCGCCTGCCACAACACCAGGCTATTTTTTTGTTGCAGTTTGGCCAGGGCCTGGTCCGAACCCACCACCCTCGGTATATGGGGCCAGCACCCTACTGACTGAGCCACAGGTGCCACCCGTCCTGGTAGTTTTTAAATTGAGGTGAATCAAAGCATTTATGTTGCATAATGACCTTCTCTATTCATATAATATATTTTGTCTTGATAGTCTTTTGTCTAATAATAATATATAGATATATATATATTTTTGAGACTGTCTCATTATGTCACCCTTGCTAGAGTGCTGCCATGTCACAGCTCACAGCAACCTCCAATTCTTGGGCTTAGGAGATTCTCTTGCCTCCACCTCCCAAGTAGCTGGGACTACAAGTGCCCACCACAGTGCCCAGTTATTTTTTTGGTTGTAGTTGTCATTGTTGTTTGGCAGGCCTGGGCTGGATTTAAACCCTCCAGCTCTGGTGTATGTGGCTGGTGCCCCAGCTGCTGAGCTACAGGCCCTGAGCCAACTTTTCATACTTATTAGACAAGATCTTTTTGGTATAGATAGACATAATTTTTTTTTTTTTTTGTAGAGACAGAGTCTCACTTTGTCGCCCTCAGTAGAGTGCCGTGCATCACACAGCCCATAGCAACTTCCAACTCCTGGGCTTAGGCAATTCTCTTGCCTCAGCCTCCCGGGTAGCTGGGACTACAGGCTCCCGCCACGATACCCGGCTATTCTTTTGTTGCAGTTTGATCGAAGCTGGGCTTGAACCCACTACCCTCCGTATATGGGGCCGGTGCCCCACTCACTGAGCCACGGGCACCACCCGATAGACATAGATTTTTATCAAATTACTCTAGAATGTGCATTACAAGGAAAAAATAAGCCAATTAAAATGGCTGGGGTATTTCTAAAGCTTTACATTCAGTATTCAGTTCTAGGAAGTAAGAGTTTACTTTGAATCTTTTAAAATTACTTACTAAAAGTGGCTGGAATTAATCTACATAGAATTGATATTCTATTATGGATTTTTAATTGAGGTCTATTTCTTGCTAAAATTGTGGGTCTATTTCTTACTAAAATTGTGGGAAAAGAGTCTTTTCAAGTAAATTACATTTTCTTTTGTAAATTATATTATTAAATTTATAATTACTGTTAGGAATAAATTTCTTGCATTAAAAGCATTTTTATTTTCTTTTAGGAGTTAATGGAGCAGTTTCATCAAGTTGAAGCTCAAATGAATAAGCTAAGTCATCTCCTTACTGATATTCTGGCTGATGTGAAGACAAAAAGAAAAATTTTGGCAACTAACAAATTGCATCAAATGGAAAGAGAATTATATGTATATTTTTTAAAAGATGAAGATCATCTGAAAGAAATCATAGAGAATTTAGAAACCCAATCAAAGATTAGGTCTGCTGGTCTTGAAGATTAAAAACTGAATCTTTACTATACATGCTATGTATTTTCTACATAGGAAGATAATATATCTAATAAACACTACTAAATTTGCAAATTTGTGACCAATGGAACATTTCATTTAATGAATTCAAGTATATTATGTTTGTTTTTTTCCTTATATAACATGTTTGTTTAAAGTACCAGGGGTTTTGGTTTTGTATGACTTGAACGTTTATTTGTTTAGTGGTACTTAATTTTTTAGTAATTTTTTACTTACAAGGAAAAGCATTATTATAATGCAAAAAACTTTTTTTTTTTTGAGACAGAGTTTTACTTTGTAGCCCTCAGTAGAGTGCTGTGGCATTATGGCTCACAGCAACCTCAAACTCTTGGGCTCAAGCAGTTCTCTTGCCTTAGCCTCCCAAGTAGCTGGGGCTACTGATGCTGTCACAACACCAGGATATTTATAGATACGGGGTCTCGCTCTTGCTCTGGCTGGTCTTGAACCCATGAGCTCAGGCAGTCCATCTGCCGTGGCCTCCCAGAGTGCTCATATTATAGGCCTGAGCCACAGCGCCTGGCCATAATGCAGATATTTTTAGTAATTACATCTCTCCTTTGCTACTTTTTTAGAAATAGCAATTGCTGTTAAGTATTTTTTAATGGGGAACTTTGAGTCAATGTTTTTTAATCCATAGACCTTAAAATACAAAATAGCCAAGTCCCCTTGTATGTTACTTTTTATTTGTTTTTTTGAGAAGGTCTCACTCTTTCACCCTGAGTGGAGTGCCGTGGCATCATAACTCAAAGCAATTTTAAACTCTTCATATCTTCCTGCTCCAGCCTCCTAAGTAGTTGGGACTATGGGTGCCCACCACATATCCAGCTAGCTTTTCTATTTTTAATAAAAATGGGGATCTTGGTGTTGTTTAGGCTGATCTTTAACTTCTGAGCTCAGACTATGCACCCACCTTAGCCTCCCATGGTGCTGGGATTATAGTGTGAACCACCTTGCCAGGCCCCTCATATTTGACTTTAATATAAAATTCGGCTACTCAGGCTCGGCACCTGAGGCTCAAGTGGCTAAGGCGCCAGCCACATACACCTAAGGTGGCGGGTTCGAATCCAGCCCAGACACGCCAAACGACAATGACGGCTGCAACCAAAAAATAGCCGGGCGTTGTGGCAGGCGCCTGTGGTCCCAGCTACTTGGGAGGCGGAGGCAGGAGACTCGCTTGAGCCC